TAGTTAGTGGAGACGAAGTGAACCAATTCGTCAATGAAATTGTCATTCTGTCACAAGTTATTCAAAAGAATGTGGTTAAATTAATGGGTTGCTGTTTGGAGACTGAAGTACCCCTTTTGTTTTACGAGTTTATACACAATGGAACACTCTCATTATATTCAGCACCAAACTGAGGAGTTTCCTCTTACATGGGAAATGCGGTTACGAGTTGCAACCGAAGTTGCAGGACACTGTCATACTTACACTCGGCAATCCAGTCCTATTTACCACCGAGACGTCAAGTCTTCGAACATACTGTTGGATGATAAATACAGAGCCAAAGTGGCAGACTTTGGGACATCACGATCTGTCGCCATTGACAAAACACACCTTACCATGACACAGGTAAATGGAACGTTCGGTTAATTGGACCCGGAGTACTTTCAGACTAGCCAATTTACAGACAAGAGTGACGTTTATAGCTATGGAGTGGTCCTTGTTGAGCTATTGACAGGAAAAAAACCAATTTTTAAGACAAAGTCACAAGAACCCAAGAGCCTATCACATTATTTTCTTCTTTCCATGGACAAGAATCGTTTGTTCGATATTCTTGATGCCCGAGTTGTGAAAGATGCCAGAAAGGAAGAGATCATGGTAGTTGCTAAACGTTGCTTGAATTTGAATGGAAAAAAGCGTCCTACTAAAGAAGTAGAAGTGGAGCTGCAGGGAATTCAATTATCAGTGAAAGATTTTGATGTCCAATAAAATTTTGACGTTGATTATGTCCAAACTCGAGTAAACCAGGTTTGGGATGTTGGTTCGGCATCAACACATGAGCCTAGGACATTATTTTCTTCTCCATTTGATGTAGATCCACTTTTGTTTATCATGACAGAGTGAAAAATAAATGTTGTTTTCATTGTAATATTATGTATGTATTAGATGTAGGGCTAGTTTGGAATTGTTGTACTATTTAAAGAAAAAAAGGCTTTTGTTATGCATTGAGAATAGGCATTTGTAAAATAAAACAATTGAGTATTTGATAAACTTTATTTTGAAAAGTGTTGTGAGTAACAAATCAATGAAAAAAATGCATTTTTAATGTAAAAGTACTATAGTTTTGTATAATACCAACATAGACATAACAGTCACCTAATATTTATTGAGTATGAGGGCTGCTAAAATGTACTTATTTGTAGGATATGAATTTCACATCAAAGAAAAATGACTTTATATGTGTTTTTAAGTAGTTGAGTTACCCCGCATACCATCAAATAATTTTATGACTACTTTTTTTTTTTACGTATGTGTAGAAATATGAATGATAGATTTTAACTTTCCCTTCCAGGAGAGTTTCAAGATTACAATGTATAGTATCCTTCATGGAGAAAATCCTTCCTCAAAACTTACTAATAGAAAATAATGTAGAGATTATTTACATGTATATCTCTTTTTTTTTTTTTTTTGAACGAGAATGATTTGAAATAGAAAGTTGGAGGTATTAAACCTGACAATTTCTTACACGACACGTAAACGACACGAAAATAATGAGTTTCGGATCAACACGATAACTAATTAGGTCATTATCGGGTCACACGATAGTAACCCGTTAATAGTGGGTCCTTAACAAGTTTACACGAGAGTGACATGCAAGTAACCTATTTCAACACGATAAGAAAAAAATTATTTTGATGATTTTAATTTTTTAAACTACTAAAAAAAACTTACTATAAAATACAATAGATATAATGAATATGTATATATTGTTTATTAATTATTATTCTGTATAAATTTTAAAATTTAAGTTTTATTTATTTATTTATTTTATAATATATTATAGACAAAGGTTGAGATTAAAAATCATTAAACACATTAAAACACATTAAAAGATTGAGATTTACACGAGAGTGATGTTTCAGGCCTAATTGGCCTTTTTGGTGGCAATAACGTTTTTGGTGGAGTAGACCTTGGTTTAGAGCGATTTTGATGATTTGTTTCGAGGGTGCTTTCTATCCTTTCTTCTTAATAATATTTTGCTTTTTTATTATAATAGCGTGTAACTAATTCCTTTTGTTAGGGTGAGCCTCGAGCATTAGCATAAATATGTAGTCTTTATTGGAATGCTTATTATGATATTATGCATGAATATTTTGAATTGTTAATCACTATGTTTAAACTGTCTACATATCATGATGCCTAATCACCAATAGGATGTTTAGACAAATAAGTTGATGCAATTGCTGTTGCAACACACCCTGGAATCGATTGATGGTTCTTGTGATTAATATATAATTGCAATTTCACTTAAGGTGAATGCCATATCTTAAGGGTTGCATAGTTTTTTAAAAGGTTTTCACAAAACTTAGCGAGTCTTGCATGTTTAGATTTGATCTAAATACTATAGACATATTGCATGTATGATATATGTTCTACCTTAAATGCCACAAGTACAATATGTAAAATTACATAGGAAAACCTAACCTTCAAAGTTGCACATGTAATTCATAAGTAAATAGTAAAATTACATAGAATTGTTAACGGTGACGGACTAAACCTTAATGCATTTTACGAACGAATTTTCTCAAATTGTTTTCTTTCCTGCTGCCGATTTAATTTACAAAACCAATTTCAATTATTTTATTTAATTTTCTGTATTCATTAGTTTAATTCATAATATCAAATCCTTTTCTAAAATAGGTTTTTAAATAGTTAATTAAGGATTAATTTTAAGTAGAAATTATTTATTCAATTTTTTTGGAGAACAATCTTGAATAAGGATTTGTACTACTATTTATGCTCTTACAAGTATTTTGTGTAATTTTAATCCTATTTAAATAGGGAATAAAAATCCTATCATTGGCCAAACAATATAGTCAATTTAGGCCTAACAATGGACCACCTTTGGAGCACTAATAATCACAAATAATTAGCAATACAATTCTTCAAAACAGCAGGCGCCCTTTGAAAAACTATGCACAAATAATATAATTAATCTTGTTGGCATGGTCTCGATCATGAAAAGGAGAGAGACACCGAACTCCAACCTATCTAGGAGACAACCCTTCCTTAAAACTTACAAACTACATGTATATATCTCTGTTCAGTATCCCCTTATTTTTTTAATGTTCTAAGAAAGTTGAAGGTAATGAAAGAGCTCATGGCATCATGTATAGCCAATATTAATTAATCAAGTAGTGGCTTTTGAGACAATGACATCGAGTAAAATTTTCAACAAGAATTCTGGCTACAATCTTTAGCAGTCATGTTCACAAAGCATATACCGAAGCAATTAACAATATTAAATGCTAAAGTGTTAAAAAGGATTTAATATTTAGGATTAAATATACTGAAGCATTTTAGGTGATTCCTCTCTCTGTGTGCCCAACTGTCCTTCTACAAATTAATCAGCACAACTGTTTACCTATATAATATAGAATTATTGCAGCCGCCTCTTAAGTAATCAACTGGAAGAATAGGTTTGCATGCATCCCTGGTGACCTTCTTCTAGAGAGATTATTTTTCATGTAACTAAAAACATAAACTAGTACACCATGTGTCAAAATATAAATAGAGATAATATTATATTATTAAGTGCCCTTGACTTGTAATATGACAACGTACATATCGGCTTGTGTTCCAAGTATATTGAAAAATAAAAATCCCTCTTCCCTCTGACCAACAAAACAAACCTCCCTCATCACGCTAAACAAAGTTGATGTTCCATCATGAAACATATTGACAATATAGAGAGTAACTCAACTTACTTATAAGCACATGTAAGGTCTCTTCTCTCATCAATGTGAAATTCATTTTCAACAAGCCCCCTCACGTGTAGCGGATTTTCAAGCTAAACATGTGGACAACACAACGGGATAACGTGGAGCACGTGTGACCATTGGGCTTTACACATGAGACAACCTGCTCTGATATCATGAAGAAAGTTAGAGGTTCCACCATAAAACCGATTGGCAATATGGAGAGTAACCCAACTTACTTATAAGCACATACAAAGTCGCTTATCTCATCAATATGAAATTCATTTTCAACAACCCAACCCAAACGTTGTGCTTCTTTTGAAAGTTCATACCCTTCGGGGGTTTAGGTTTTGTTTAGGGTTCAGGATTCATGGATTTTAAATTTATATTCCCTCTAATCAAGGGTAACTTCTTTCTCTCATTCATCAATAAAATCTAGATCGAGATTTCTTTGTTAGAAAACAAATGGGCTCCTTTGAAACAATAATTACAAATGATTCGCAATACAATTCTTAAACTCACATTCGGACCTTCTTCTAACTAACAAAACAATTCCTTTCTAGGTTATTGTATCTTTATTTCTTCTTTTTCAATATATTCACAGTAATATTTTTTCTCATGATAACAATGCTAGAGTGAAAGTGATATTTTATCATTTTAATAAAAAAAAACTAACAAAATAAACCTTGCTGATCACGTCAGGTCAAGCAAATAATGGACCACGTTTGGAGCACTAGTCCCAAATAATTAGCAATACAATTTTTCAAAACAGTAGCCTCCTGTCAACAGCCTATACACAAATAATATAATATGATAGCATAATCCGATCCCAATTTTTAATTACTACACCAAAATTCTACCTAAAATTAATTAAGATACCAAAATTCTGTTGACCTCTAGCTACACACGTGTTTGAGAAGAAGAGACACATCCTGTAATCTTGTTGGTATGATTTTAATCTGAAAAGGAGAGACACCAAACTCTAACCTATCACGACACAATCATTTGTAATAAATTCTAAAGTACAACTTCCAGTATTGTTTCCAATGACTTGGAATTTGCAATCAAGGAAAGTTGTTCTCATTCTCTTGCGATTGTGGTTATTCTCTTGCAAGGTAGCACATGAATACAATGTCTGTAAAGTACCTAACTTCTGTGAATGGTAGTTAAACCTGACAGTTTCATGTACAATTATATATATCCAATTTGTCTGGCCAGACTTAGTACAAGAAAGTCGGCCCTTGCCTCTTCCAAGTAACACACACTTCTAGAATCCTCAAGTAGTGGTGGCACGGCGAACCAACCATGGGATCGGTGGAGGAGATCCAGCAGCCGTTGCTGCTCGGATTTGACACGCATTCTCAGCTTGCTGATTTGTCATCCCCTGCTGTTGAAGAGTTTCTAGGGCACCGGCCAGTGTCACTCCGATGGTGGCCTAGGCTGGTGGTTTGGGAGTCAAGACTCCTATGGATTTTATCTGGTTCATCTATTATTGTTTCCGTATTCAACTATATGCTCAGCTTTGTCACCCTCATGTTTTGTGGGCATTTGAGTGCCTTGGAGCTTGCCGGAGCCTCTATCGCTAGTGTGGGAATTCAGGGTCTGGCTTATGGGATTATGGTTTGTAGCCAAATAATATAACTAATTAATAAAAAATGGGAACAGTATTAACGTTCCAAAATAGTCATAATGCATTCCTCCTTTGTTTTTTTACCTTAAGGGGTTCATGATGATTATTTTGAAGTGTCAATAACTCTCTCAATAATTCATGTAGCGCAATTTCATATCTATGTTTTCTTCTATTTTTCTTTTCGGTGGTTGAATTAATACTTTCTGGTTCTTGTTTCTTAATTCTCGGTTTGGAATCAAAGTTGGGAATGGCAAGTGCTGTGCAAACTGTGTGTGGGCAAGCATATGGGGCCAAGCAATTGCCAGCAATGGGAATCATATGCCAAAGAGCAATCATCTTGCACTTGGGAGCAGCAATCCTCCTCTCATTTGTGTATTGGTGGTCAGGTCCTATCCTCGTAGCCATTGGGCAATCAGAAGAAATAGCAGAGCAAGGCCAAATCTTTGCAAGAGGAATTATTCCTCAGCTTTTTGCATTTGCCATAAACTGCCCCCAGCAGAGGTTCCTTCAAGCTCAAAACATAGTCAACCCCTTGGCTTACATGTCGGTTGGAGTTTTCATCCTTCACATTCTTCTCAATTGGGTGGTGGTTTTTGTTGCGGATTATGGCCTAACTGGGGCTGCTCTTACACTAAGCTTCTCTTGGTGGCTTCTTGTCATTATATATGGGCTTTACATTCTTTTGAGTCCCAAGTGCAAGGAGACTTGGACCGGCTTCTCTTGGAAAGCCTTCAAAGGGATGTGGCCTTATTTCAAGTTGACTGTTGCCTCTGCTATTATGCTCTGGTAGGTGAACCAATAATGCAAAATTACAAATGCGACCACTTCGGCTTTTTTAGACCACATTAGTTAACGATCTTAATTATGTAGAAGCTGATGTATCAATTACTCAGCAAATAAGGCGGTTTGCTAATGTGGTCTAAAAAAATGTGGTGTCTATATCATTACTCGTGTATAAATTTTGACAAAAACTATTTAGACACACAAAGTTGACTACGTTGCTAACACACTCTAATGTAGTCCTATATATAACAGTTCGGCCCATCTCTATTGGAGAATGTGTATATAGCTTTACTAAATGGTTAAACCCTTAGTTCCCTATCTTTTCTGAAACCTTCACATGCTAATATCTTTTTCCTTTTGTGAATGAATGTAGTTTGGAGATATGGTACAACCAAGGGCTAACACTAATATCAGGGCTCCTCCCCAACCCTACAATCTCACTAGACTCCATTTCTATTTGGTAAGTAAGGATTTTTTTTTTTTTTTTTTGTTAACTGGGAACTTCATTACCAGTTTAATTATTTCATGAGTTATTGAACCATGATTGCTATTATTATATCTAACTTTTACATGTTCTTATGTGATGAACAATTCCAGCATGAACTACTGGAACTTCAGTTTGCAATTTATGTTGGGCCTAAGCGCAGCGGCCAGGTTTGTGACCAAAAAAAAAAATAAAAATAAAAAAAATAAAAATAAAAAAGCAAGCTGCTCATAAGAATTCAAAATTTTCCTTTACAGGTCCAATAATTGGAAGTGATATAATCATAATAAGATGACTTGGCTTATGCAGTGTCCGAGTCAGTAACGAGTTAGGGGCTGGTCATCCAAGGGTGGCGAAATTTTCAGTGTTTGTAGTGAACGGAACTAGCATCCTGATTAGTATAATCTTCAGTGCGATTATATTAATATTCCGAGTTGGACTTAGCAAGCTATTTACAAGTGATGCTGATGTTGTTGAGGCGGTGTTGGATTTAACTCCATTGCTAGTTGTTTCCGTTTTCTTGAATGGCATTCAACCAATACTCTCAGGTATTGATATATGATAGAAGATGCAGTGCAGATGAACAAGCCAGGTCCTCTCATACAAATGTTTGCAATCATTTCTAATTTCATATGTGTGGAATTTAGGTGTGGCAATTGGAAGCGGATGGCAAGATGTCGTGGCTTATGTCAACCTCGTTTGTTACTATATAATTGGTTTTCCAGTTGGATGTCTTCTTGGCTTCAAAGCTAGTATGGGAGTCGCGGTAAGTTCACTTGCTCCCCCACTCATTCCGTACAGTTGTTACTTTGTGAGGAATGCTGATAGAACCTGAAGCATTTTGGCTTCTTTTTTTTTTTTCAGGGGATTTGGTGGGGAATGCTTATCGGAGTTTTTTTACAAACAGTAGTTCTAATTGTTCTCACTGCCAGAACAAATTGGGATGCCGAGGTGATTTAACTTTGATGAAAGTAACTATACATAGCAGGCATGAATCGCATTTGGTCATGTCGTTATCAATGAATTTTATCATTATTTTTTGTAGGTTCTAAAAGCCGCTGATCGCTTGGACAAGTCTGCAAATGAAGAAAACACAGACTTGGTGGTCTCCGAGCGCGTAAGCCCAAGGCCATGAAAGTGTTTAAATTCATTTAATTAAGCAGGTTTTCATGTGGTGAATTGGAATGCAACTCTAAAGGAAAAAAGTTGTCGCCAAATAGCAACCATGTCTATTACTGTCTAGCCTTTCGACATTGTGAAGGCAAAAGCTGGAGATGGGCAGTGGGATGTTGCTTCATTTGATGTTCAACGACAACTTTTGAATTTCTTAGCTTTTCTTGGTTATATACGTAATAATAAATCCATAATTTTTAATTTTTTTTCCCTAGTTTGATTTTATTTTAAAAGTACACAGTTTTATCCAGACTCGCCTGAACGATCAAGTTCTAGGAATTGTCAATTAATTGTATTAATAATCTGTGCAATATTAAATCAAATATTTTGCTTCTGTAGCTTAACATAATTGCTTCTGTAGTTTTTAATCAAATTGTCTTTGTAATTATGAAGTAGTTGTAGTAGTGAATCAGTATCCACTTCTCCTACAAATCATTATTTGCAAATTGCTTTGTAGTAGTTTTTTTTTTTTTTTTTTTGCGGATTTTAATTATTTTTCAGTTCTTCTTTCATCCATCATAGCTTATAGTACAAAGAATATTTTAATCAACAACTGGTTATTCGTATAAATTGAGGGTATTTTTGACATTTAAGTGAGATTTTGGATAGAATTGAATTTTTTTTTTTTATAAAAAAATGACATTTTTGAAATTAAGAGCTAATTTTTTGCTATTATTGATAAATTTCCAAAAAAAACAGTGTTAGAGTGTTTGGTAAACTTTTATTATATGTACTTTGACTATACAAAATAACAGTAGATAGAACTCAAATTATAAATAATTATTAAAGAAATTTGCACAAACACCACCTCAGTATGCATTACGGTGTGTACATTTACCAGTTAATTTCTTTTTTTTTTTTCAATTCCCAGCTAGTCTCTCGTGCTAATTTATACTAAAAAAAAACAAGGAGAAACTGTTTGCTCAACCTTGATTCCTTCTCCAACAACAATGGACTCACGTCCCCCACACTCACACAACACCCCCATTAAATTTTCATAAAATCCAGATCAATCTCATGCTTAGGAAAAAAGTGTTGACTCTTCTATCCCAACACCGATCTCTGCCTTGCCCCCATCACCTTACATCCATCATTCCAATTTGAATTAAACAAATGACTAAAATCAATCCAATCTGGTACCAAGGGTATTGGAGATTTGAAGGCTAATAAATGCATAGTCTAATTCGAGAAAATCAGATTTGACCTATGCAGCCATTGTTATAATATAGGAGATTCTACTGCTTTGTCTACGAGCTGGGAGAGAGAGAGCTAGCTGGAGACGAGAGTGCGAGCTGTGAATGGTGCAAAATTAGGACTGACCCGATTCGTGAGGGCAAAGAACGAAGAAGTAGGGAAAGAAAAGAGGGTAGAGTTGTCGTTTAGAAAGTTTCATTAATGCACACTATTCACTCCACCTCCTAAAAAAAAAAAAAAAGAAGCTCATTTTAAAAGCATGGTCTCACCTAGGGCTGAGCACGGGCTGGGTTGGGTCCAATTTTGGAGGAACAGACCTTATTCGTTTTAAACAATAACGGGAGCGGATGAGCCGGGTAAAGGGGTTTTGAGTTTTGAAACGGGACCTAACTCGGCCCGTTTGATTCGCGACGAGTCCACGGGGCCCCAACTCTTATATATATAATTTATAAACTGCAATGCACGACAACACTGCAACAACACATGAGCTATTTCACTACATGGAAGTGAGAGACGTAGAGCGAATCCACATCAAGCCCTTTTACCTACAAAATACGAAAACAAGCTTAGTTTGTGTTCATTGCTAATATAAAACATTAAGCAAAGAGGCGAAAGCCATGCCAACAAACAAGAAACATTTACCTCAGCATTCTTGAGCAAATCAAGAATGAAATTAGCAAACTTAACTGGCCAATGTCCCTGACCATTGGACTGGTGATTCTTCGCCTGAGCAGTTCGACCAACATCGCGAAAAAAGCGGCGGAAGGGAATGGCTTGCTTATGGGCTAAAACATCTTCCAAGCACCTTTTAGCCTTTGCCAAATGCATCTTCCTAATGGCATAGGCAGTCTTTCTCGTGTTCTAAAACAGATTAAAAAATCCAAATTATAACAATCGAATTGAACCAGTCCAAGCATAACACAAACAATCTAAGATAAATAGATTTGAAAATTACAAGAGCTGTTTTTTAAAACTGAGGTTGCATTGCACATCAAATCTTGCGTATATCACTAGTACAAAAACACACTTGTGCGACGGAGCAAATTACGTTGTACGAAAACGTTTTGCGCAACGTTGACAACTAAGCGTCACGCAAGGACAATTCGTGCGACGGGACTTTGCGTGACAAAGCACTCTGTTGTGCAAAACTGTTTAGCGCAACGTAGGTGGACCTTCGTCGCACAATGTTGGGAAAAAAAAAAAAAAAGCAGTAAAAGACTTTGTTTGGTGCCAGAAAATTGCGCTACGGACCAACTACATTGCGCAAAGGCCATTTGCACGATGTATTGGTTCACCGTTGTGCAAAGGGTGTTTGTGCGACGGACCAGCTGCATCACTTAAAGGACATTTGTGTGATGTATTGGTTCATTGTTACACAAAAGGTGTTTACACTACGGACCAACCAATGCATCACGCGAAAGATGTTTGTGCGACAGAGAAAATGTGTCACGCAAAGGCCATTTGCACGACGTATTAGTTCACTATTGCGCAAAGGGTGTTTGCGCGATAGACCAACCAATGCATCACGCAAAGGGTGTTTGCGTGACAGGACAATCGCGTTGCGCAAAGGGTTTTTGTGGTCCACTTGTTTAAATATTTTAAATTGACGATCGAATTAGTTTATTGTATTCATATAGGATTAAGGAGTGTAGTTGTAAAAAATCATCAAAATCCGAGTTAAAATAATCGTTAAATTGTGATTTTTTTGTTTATAACCGCTGAAAAGTTTTGTCCCGTTACTTGATCTTTGAATGTTTGTGTTTTGCAATTTTTTGTGTATGCGATCTCGAAGTATATACAAATAAGTTTGATGGTTGGATCATTGAAATTAGTCTTGTGGAATGCGTATACCATCAAAACAATAGATTCACTGACACTTATAATTTATTTATACTTTCATTAAGTATAACATAAGATTTTGTATAAATCTTTTTAAATTGAAGATCAAATTCATTCATATAGAACTAAGGAGTGTAGCTGTAAAAAATCATCAAAATCGGAGTTAAAATAACCATTAAAGCATGATTTTTTGTTTATAATCATTGAAAATTTTTGTCTCGTTACTTGATCTCTGAATGTTTTTTTTTGTGATTTTTTTTGTATGCGATCTCGAAATATATACTAACAAGTTTGATGGTTGAATCGTTGAAATTAGTTTCGTAGAATGCGTATCCCATCAAAACGATAGATTCACTAACATTTAGAGTTTATTTATATTTTCATTAAGTATAACATAAGCTTTTGTGGTATCCACTAGTGTAAATATTTTAAATTGAAGATTGAATTCATTCATTGTATTCATATAGGATCAAGCAGTGTAGCTGTAAAAATCATCAAAATCCGAGTTAAAATAGCCGTTAAATCGTGATTTTTTGTTTATAACCGTAAAAAAGTTTTGTCCAGTTAGCTAATCTCTGAATGTTTTTTTTTTCTTTTCGATTTTTGCGTATGAGATCTCGAAGTATATACAAACAAGTTTGACAGCTAGATCATTGAAATTAGTTTCATAGAATGCGTATCCTATCAATATGGGTCAATGTTATATAGTTTATCAAGACTTTATAAACTTATAGCAATAATTTCACTAACTGTAAAAATCTAAATGTGATATCAATGATCCAAACCGTTCAAGTTTCTGAATTCACTAGAAGATTATGTTTTTTGAAAAGAAAATTTGAAAAACGAAATTCTGTGAGAAGAAGGGAGCGTAAACATAAACATAAACGACAATCAAAGGCTAAAATTTAATCTAAGGTTTATAGGATGATAGTGGTGAATTTCGGAGTTGATCTCTTCACAAAAGTTGTAGAGATTGTCATCACGAGCATTTGTATATTTTTCTTATATTTTTCACACTTCGACATTAATTAAAAAACTTTACTACAATAATAACCATAGGATTTAATCTCACTTATATGAGATTAAATCCTTACCATGTGTTTTGAAGAGTTGCCAAAATTTTGGCATGGCGCCTTTATTTTTAGCTTTCTATTTTCAAAATTTTGGCATGGCGCCCAAACACTTATGGCGGAAAAATCTGATTTTTAGGAAATTGGCATGAAATTTGGTGGTTAGGTTACAGGGAAATAGGGAGTAGGTGATGCTATAGAATTGGGGAGGAAATCAGGGGTGGAAGGAATACCCTATCTCTCAGACTTCTCCCATCTCTCATTCACTTTCCTTTTCTCTCTGTCTCTCAGACTTCTCCCCTTTCTCCATTGTTAGACTTTGAGTTAGTAAGTGTAGAATTGCTACACTTGTCACAAGATTAGAAGCTGTGGGTTGGTTGGGTAGTTAAGTTTGTTATGTATAAATAGTGATGTACATTGCATTATTTGATGATTAAGTAAAATCATATACAACTTCATTCTTCTCTCTCTCTCTCTCTTTCTAAAACTGTTCTACATAGATTACAGATCTTCCATTGATATTGGTTAACATGATATCAATCGCGTCTGATGCTTGTGTGTGATACTTCGATTCGTCTTCTTGCTTCCGCTACCTTCGATTTGTCTTCGACTGCCTCTGATTTCTGTTTCTTGATTCTCAAGGATTTCTTCATCTTCGTGCACCCTCATTGTCTAAGGTTTGGCTCGATCTTGTGCTGTGATTGATCTTTCTTCTATATCTCTCTAGCGTGTGCACTCCAAGTGTTTGCGATTTGCTCTCAGTGAAGTTCTTCTTGCACATTGATCTAATTTGGTTGTTTTATGCAATAATGGTGACTGCTGCTCAACTTACAATTCTTCAATCTCTAATTACGGCCCT